TTCCTGCCAGACTGCCTTGAGCTGGGACGCTCGGTGGGAGTGACCGAAACATTGCCTCAGGCCAGAACCCTGCCCAAACAGCCTTGCCTGCACAAGAAGGGGCTGGGAATGGAGGGGCCGTAGCCTTCACCACTCTCTGGGTGAGGTGCCAGATCCAGCGAACTGTGCCACCCCCCTCCTTCCGGTGGTCAGGAATCACTGGCCCTGAGCGCGCACATGGCCACCCAACTAGAAACCGCACGGCCCAGTTTCCCTTCGGACTAGATGTGGCCAAGGATTCAATTCTCGCCAATAGGATGTGAGCAGACACGTGCGCGGTCCCGACGCTTCCTCCAAAGGGAACTGCCCGCCCTCCTCTCCCCTTCCCAAAGGCAGGGAACCAGGCTCCTGCTGACCTGAGGCCGCGCCCCACCCCCTGCCCCCGCCCCGGGGGTGTAAGACCTGGGTGATCAGCCATTCTGGCGGTACCCGGGATGCTTTCACTGTGGTTTTAACGTGCATTTCCTTGGTCACTAATGAGGGTAAGCGCTTTTTCATGTGTCTACTGGTGTCTGTTGTGTGAAGTGCCTGTTCAAGACTTGTGCCCATTCCCCCCAACTTTTTGAGGGTTTGGAATAGGAACCCTCTCTCAATGATGTTTCAAATATCTTCGCCTTCTGCCTTTCCACCCTTACTGGTGACTCTTAATTTTCAACCAAGTCCACTGATCAGCGTTTGTCACGTAGTTAAGAAATCTTACCCTACCTAAGGTTGTGAGGCTCTATCAGATAGTCTATCTCCTAGAAATGGGAGCATTTTGCTTTCATATTCAGATTCACAGTACAGCTAGGAACTGATATTTTTATATGATACAAGGTAGGGGTCAAGTTTCTTCTAGCCTCTAAAGCTGCGGTTCTCAACCTGTGGGTCGCAACCCCTTTGGCGGTCGAACAACCCTTTCCCAGGGGTCGCCTAAGACCATCCTGCACATCCGATAGTTCCATGACAATTCATAACAGTAGCAACATGACAGTGATGAAGCAGCAACGGAAATAATGTGCTTTTGCAGGCATTTCCCTCCCGCCTCTTTTTTCGGGAGTATTTCATTGGCCTGGTCACCTTTCCACTGTAAGGTCAAACGCAGGTGAATTGTGACTGACCTCGCCCTGTTCCTAATGTCAGAGGAGCATGTCAACATTTCTCCATCTCGCCTGGTACTTGCTGTAGTTCTGAGATACTCCATCAGAACTAGGAACTCCCCTCCTAGCCCTAATGGGCTCATTCTAAAATTAACAGCACAAGTTGGATGCTGAATTTTCTCCTACTTTTGTCTGAATTGATCATGATTTTCTGTTAATGCTGTGATGTTTGTTTGCTTTAAAAAAAGCTATCCCCATCTCGCAACTCTAAGATACAGTTTGCCAACACTGTGCGTAGGCTGCCTGGGTCCATGTTCATGTGTGGGCTGGGCCTTTGCTGCTCCTTTCTTCTTCTTGGGTGCTGCTAGCGGAGTCACGCGGCCTCACAAAGTAAGTTGTGAGGTGTTCCCTCTTTATCTGGGAGAATCTGTGTGTGACTGGTAGTACTTCCTAAAATGTGGGTAGGAAGTTTTAAGGATTAAACACTGAAATATAATCACATTTATATTGCCTTTGAGAGCAAAGCTGGAGAAGACAAGGGTCCCATGTCCCTGTGTAATCTGCACACACAGGCTGAAAGCCCAGGGCAGGGCCAGGGCCAGGGTTCCTCTGCCTTCGCTGGGGCAGAACATGGTGAGTGTGTGTGTCGGGGGGGGGGAGGGGACACACATGGCGGCTTGACTCCAACTGTTGGGATGTTTGGAGGCAAAGCCTGCTCTTTCCTTTTTTAAATATATTTTTATTGATTTCAGAGAGAAGGGAGAGGGAGAGATGGAAACATCAATGAGAGAGAATCATTGATCGGTTGCCTCCTACACGGCCCCTACTGGGGATCGAGCCTGCAACCCAGGCACGTGCCCCGACTGGGAATCCAACTGTGACCTTCTGGTTCATAGGTCGATGCTCAGCCACTGAGCCCCGCTGGCCGGGTTGCTCTTTTCTAAATCAACCAATTCTGAGAAAAGTCCTTGGCCCTGACCTTCCCTGACCCCCCGGTGTGCTGCCTAAACCACAGAGCTGTACCTGCTGTCCACTGGAGCATTCACACCGAGAAACAGGACAGAATGCCCGGTGAGGAAGGAATGGTCGCGTCCATTGCTCGGATGTGCGAGAAGGGGTTTTAGCTGTTTCCCCACACCGGCCACGCAGCTGGGCCGATCAGAACCTTGGACAGCACCAAAGGACTGGTTTTGTGTTAAATCTTAGATGTTAAGGTTCACCCTCAACTTCCCTGCATTTTAAGTCTCAAGGGGATTCCTTTAGGTTCATGTGCAGAGCTTACCAAGGAGAGAAGACATGTGTTTAAAGCCCTCCTCCTGCGTGCAAAGACTGGCATTTTTGTTCCAGCATCTTTACTTCATTTGAGGAAAGAAATTAAAAGGTAGTAAAAAAACATTTAAATGACATTTAAGTCACAGGTGTTGTTATAAGAGCAGTATGTCAATGCCTTCAAGATAATGAATGCTAAATACAGACATACAAAATTTAAATTTTGATTTAAAATGTAGTAATTGAGCCTGACTACATGGCTCAGGGACTGAGCGTCGACCTAGGAACCAGGAGGTCGTAGTTCGATTCCTGGTCAGGGCCCAGGCCCAGGCTGTGGGCTCGATCCCCAGCGTGAGGCGCGCAGGAGGCGGCTGATCAATGATTTTCTCTCATCACTGATGTTTCTATCTCTCTCTCCCTTTTCCTTCCTCTCTGAAACCAATACAAATATATTTTTAAAAAATTTTAAAAATAAAATTTACTAATTGGTAGCCCAAATGACCGCAATCATTTCTCTATCTCCCACTTTGCAAACAGACATCTTTGAGTAATTTGCAAAGCCCAGTGGACAGACTCGGAAGTTCCTGAACAGAAGATGCGTCTCACTATTAGCATCCCCCAGAAACCCAAACCCGTGAGATGTATTCACGTGGATCTACACACATGTACACACACATGACGAACTCAGGAGTATGTTACTAAAATCGTAAGAACGAATATTTCTGAACCACCAGCACCCCCCGTCCAGTGACTTTTTAAAAATCATCTGCACGCACGTGGACTCAGCGCCAGGCAGAAGCCTCGCCCGCAGCGTCAACCCTGAACCGCCTGGCCGGTCTGCCCTTGAGAGCAGTAACACGGCCACCCAGCTCGCCGCGAGCACTCCATCTCCACAGCGGCTGCCCTTTCCCTCTCTCCTTCCAAGTGACGGATGGAGGCGGCGATTCACTCGGCAGCGTGTGAAATAAGGCGCTCAGGCGCCGGGCCCCAGGCGGAGGACAGGCAGCGGCTGTGGGAATTAATGCGGGAGCATCCGCAGCCACAATGCGGCCGCCAGCGGGTTCCCTACGAGCCCCCACCTCCCATTAGAGCACACAGCCCCCCCCCCGCCCCCCGTCTTCCCACGGGCTCCCTTCACTTGCTTGTGTTTGTTATTCACGGCTGCACCGTGTGCACACAGCCAGTGAGGCAGCAGTGTCTACTGCAGCCTTGTTAAAGGGAAAGGACCCCTGCTGCGTCCCTTCTGGCCCCACTTCCATTCAGAGAACTGGAGTTTAACTCTTTGTGTCCCGGGCCAGAATGCCGGCTCTGCATTTCATTTTGAATTTTGCAATGGCTTCTCCCGTGGCGGAATGCCACAAACAAGAGAAAAAAATGCTGCTTGCAGATCGCCCATCCTAGAAGCTGACGTGCTGCAGTGACACAGGACGCAGAGCACAGGGACAACCTTTATTTCATGTTCAGGCTGTTTTACAAAGCGGCCGGGTGTGGCACGGGGGACTCAGGAGCGGGGGACTCGGGGCAGCGTGTTTGGACGCGCCGGCTGGGCTCTGCTGTTCTGATCTGGAAGGTCCAACAGGATGTGCAAAAGCTCCGGGGTTCTAGCTGAGCCACAGGCTGGAGCACCAGGAGGAGCTTCCCGCACGGCCGCGACCGCCCAGCCGAGGCCCCGAGGAGGCTCCGGACCGATGGCCGCAGGCTGGCGCTCACTGCCCCAGTTCTGCTCTACGGTGAACACAGAGCAGTGATGGCGAACCTTCTGAGCTCGGCGTGTCAGCGTTTTGAAAAACCCTCACTTAACTCTGGTGCCGTGTCACATAGAGAAATTTTTTGATATTTGCAACCACAGTAAAGCAAAGACTTATATTTTTGATATTTATTTTATGTATTTAAATGCCATTTAACAAAGAAAAATCAATCAAAAAAATGAGTTCACGTGTCACCTCTGACACGTGTGTCATAGGTTCGCCATCACTGACATAGAGGAAGGTACAGACAGACGGAAAGACAGATCCAGGTCAAATCGCCTCCGGCTCCCCAAAGCTACTTGCGCAATCCCAGCGGAGCCATGGCCACCCCGGGGCGGCCTCTGGAGACTGCGTTCACCGAGGGCGGCTGTTCCTGGAACGCAGACCCTGCCCAGAGGCACCACAGGGCCAAGGAGGCGTCAGCGCTCACACAGGGACCTGGGGAGCCTGACTCTAGGGCGTTCAGAGCAAGAAGAGTTAATGGCCCCGTTTCTCCGACTCCCCCCGGAATTCCAAAGGGCAGCTCGGTGCCCCAGCGCAGAGGGAGAGGGAGCGAGCGCTGTTCTTCAGCTTCTCTTGAATTAATGAACTGGAAATGCGTCTTGTCGGTGCTTGGAGAGGCGGAAGGGGTGAAAGAAGAGGCGAGAATGAATCACAGTGAGAACCGCTGCCTGCGGCGCTCAGGAAACACAACAGGCAGGAAACAAAGGGGACGGGCTGCTCGCATCTGAAGGAACAAATGGGACCCGCAGCCCCGCGTCTCCGCCAAGGCGGCGGCCTCCAGGGAGCGCACCAGGCCCGAGATGTCCGCGGCCCCGGGGACGGGCTGCAGACGCTGGGGTTTAAAGCACAGAAACAACAGAACACGCGTGTACTCTCACGTTTACGCGGAAACACAGGAACACTAGCATCTAAGCGTGCCGGGCTCCTGAATCGGTGCCGAGCCTCAAACACTTGCACCTTCACGCGCTGCGAAGATGGAACGTCCGTGAGACACACTCCAAAACTCCAGGCTCCTGGGGAACGGTCCGTCACTGAGAAGAAAGAAAGAGAACTGCATAAGCATCCATTTCCAAGAGTCACGGGGAGAGCCTCTGAGAGGCGCGGGGCGGTGATCAGAAAGGAGCAAGAGCCCGACAGCTCCCGCAGCACACGCTGGTCCCTCCGCCCGAGTGAGCAGGAGCCGTCTCTGCAGCCTCCTTCTGGCCAGAAACACAGACACACAGGGTGACAT